AAAAAAAAAAAAAAAAAGAATGCTACACATTATCCATAATAGCAAACTATGGAATCAACTTCAGTGTCCATCAGTGGAAGAATAAAGAAAATGTGATACATATACACAATGGAAGAATAGTCTACCTTATAAAGGAGGAAATTCTGTTATTTTAGACAACATGAATGAACCTGGAGGACTGTGTTAGTGAAATACCAGGTCAGACAATTAAGTTCGAGAACTCATCCTAGAAAAAGTGCTACATGTCTCACAGCTGAATATCACTATGGTGACACAGGGGAAGCTGTGGACCTACACCAGCAGCTTGTCCACCCTGCAGGGCCATTTTGGAACTCTGACAATTAAGTTCCTGAACGCATCCTAGAAAAAGTGCTACCCCTACATAATCTCACTGCTGAGTATCACTACAGTCACCAGATGGCCAAAGGGAGTACTTCATAGGTAACCTTAGCAATATTCAGCAAGGAATTATGTAGCACTTTTTCTAGGATGAGTTTGTCCGACCTCATAGGCCAGAGGTACAGACACTGAAGATCTCACTCATATGTATAATCTAAAAATGTTGAACCCATAGAAACAGAGCCAAATGGTGGTTACCAGAGGCTGGGGATGGAGTGATTGAAGACATGGTCAAAGGATATGAAATTTCAGTTAGACAGGAGGAATAAGGGATTTCCTGTATCATGGTGACTGCAGTTAATAACAATATACTACATACTTGAAAAAGCTAAGAGAAGAGCTTTTAAGTGTTTTCACCACACAAGTACATGCGATAAGTATATGCTTATTTGCTTGATTTAGCCATTCCATGATGTACATGTATCAAAACATCATGTTGTAAGCCATACTAAACATACATAATTTTTACTTGTCAGTGAAAAAAAAAAATGCTACAGTAACACCTAGAAAAGAGTCTACCAAAAAAAATTTAAAAACCCAAGTTATACAGCAATAAGCCAAGTACCATTCTGTTGATGTAAATAAGACACACACATACCCTTTAATGACAGCACCAGTTGTGGGGGTCCATCACATTCTACTTTACGTTTATTGTTTACATTCATTACACTGACCGTCCACTACTTTTCTCATCAATGAAAACACTAACAATATGGTTTGGGGCAAGGAGGAATCATTCTCATTCTTCTAAGCATCTTCATTTACAAGAACAGCTCGGATGCCTTGTGACTTAGGGTGTCTACAAGAAAAAAACTGTTTTGCCATCAGATTTCTAGTGCTGCATCTCTTTTTGGAGAGGTCAATAGGCAGAAGGAAAAGTCAAAACTTGGGAGTTTGGTTTTTACCCACATTCACACACCCTTAAAGGAAATACTCAGCAGAAGGAGGAACTATCAGGAGAAAAGAATTTTCTGCTGACTGGACTGAGAGGGGAGATCAGTTACCTTGATGACTTTTTTTTTTTTTTTTTTTTTTTTTTTGAGACAGAGCCTCCAGCTGTCCCCCTGGGCAGAGTGCCATGGCATTACAGCTCACAGCAACCTCCAAC